GACATTTTGCTTTGCTCCTATATGGTGTTCTCGATGTTATCCCACAACTCTTCTAGTTTTCAGTCATTAGCGTCTAATGCATCCAATCTGTTTCTGAGATGGCCTCTAAACTCAGGTAGGCTATATTCAAGGTCATATTTTGGCTCTCTTTCCTTAAGCAACCTCAATTCAATTTGTCAAATTGAACTATTATCTTCCTCACAAAATTTGGTACTCTTTTTCTGTGTTTCTAAGTAAACAATTACATAACCACCCAGCTATGCTTCCAAGTAAAATGCTTCACGTTATCCTCAAAAAACTCATCTTCCTTAATTTCCCTCAATGAGTGAACAATTCTACACCCTTAAATGTAAACCTCTCTCCTATTTCTCTAGTAATGGTTTTTGTCATGTTCTCATTTTCCCTACTCTGGATTGCTCCAAGGAAGTTCTCGTGGATCTTCCATCTCTCCTTCACATGTGCATATTCCACCTAAATAGCTGAGCATGTAAATCCTTTGCTCAAAAACCTCAACAGGGTCCACATGATCATATGATTCAACGTACTTCCTCAGACTATCTGACTCTTCATCTAAAGCTCTAGCCACACTATGATTTTCAATGCTTTTTAACGATACTGCAGTCTTTTTTGTCTCGTATTCCTTCTTCTATTTCTTTTTACAAAATTTCCTTCTTCTTCATTGCTGCCTCGCCAAATCCTACTCAGTTTTCAAAGACCCAGATCAGTATCATATCCTCTGTGAAGTGTCCTCCAACTTCAAGTAGAGATTTTCCCTTTGCAAATAAAGCTATCGGGCCAGCTATTGCACTGTATCTTAATTACTTGTTTAAGCCTTCATCTCCTGTTGTTGTTGTCAGTTCTTAAATATAGCAGCTATGTATTTTTGTATTTTCAAGATTGTGTCTGGCATATAGTTTTCAGTAAATGGTTTTGGAAAGAGTACGAATGAATGATCCTCATAAACTATGTAACAGAGCTTCAGTGTTTTCAACAAAAGAGTTAGAACAAATGGTCTAAATTCCTTTCAGCTATAAAATTCTTGTTGTGAAGTATCATCAAGTTGGTTCTAACATACAGCATTACACCAGGACTCTATAATTTCATGTCACACTTGCTACAAAGCTGGCCCCTGAACAACTGAACTATTAGCAAACTTTAACTAGAAATTGGATTTTCTTTTCTTGTATTTATATCTACTAAAAAAATACCATTAAATTAAAAAGTACCTCTGAATGATCAAGTGCTTGCTGTGAAACCAATGATTCCTGGTTTTGTTTAGCAAAGAGAGAAAGAACTACATCTTCATGAAATTTGTTAGGAGGCATCTTAATCACTTGTCCTTCACTGAGAGGATCTTCTTCCTAGAAGAAGTGTAAATATCATTAGAACAAAATTTTCTAATAGAACTTTTCAAAAAGAAAATGGATTCTAGTTTTTTTCCATCCATTTAATTGTCATTTAATCTGACTACAACTATATATATATACATATAAACCCTTTAGGTTTACCTCAAATATAAACAACAATATAAATAATTCAGTTCAATTTAAACTGGAGATTTATTAGCCAATTTCTACCACGTGGTTGAGTCTTAAGTATATTTAATAATGTCATCAGTTTTTCAGCTCACAAAGTTTCCTGCTGCATATTTATGTGTATATAAAGTAACATCATACTTAAGTGTGGTTACTTTTCCTTGCTTATGTTGTTTTGAAAATATATAAAAAACAAATAAAATTTCAATTCCTTGTCAGTTTTTTCCAGTTTTATCATTTCTATAGACAATAACATATACATACATACATATATATATATATGTTGTTGTTGTTGTTAAGTGCCACTGAGTTGGTTCCAACTCACAGCAACTCTGTATATGGTCTTAGGCTGTAAATCTTTGCAGGAGCAGAAAGCCTCATCTATCTTCCCCAGGGTGGCTGGTGGGCTCGAACTGCCGACCTTCTGGTTCATGGTCCAGTGAGTATTGTACAGAGCCACCACGCCACGCCACCCTGTCCCCACCCACCCACAATGATGTGTTATAGTTAGATGTCATTGAGTTGGTTCTAACTCATAGTAACTCTTGTACAACATGACATAGTAACTCTATGTACAACATGACATAGTAACTCTATGTAAACATGACATAGTAACTCTATGTTCAACATGACAAAACTACCTGGTCCTGCACTATCCTACCAATTGTTGTGTTCAAGCCCATTGTTGTAGCCACTCTGTCAAGCCATCTAATTGAGGAGATGCCTCTTTTTCGCTGACCCTCCACTTTTCCAAGCACGATGTCCTTCTTTGGGGACTGGTCCTTCCTGATAAAATGTCCAAAGTATGAGAGACAAAGTCTTATCACCCACACTCACACACACACATACGAGGGGGCTTCAGCAAGTTCATGAAAGAACTGTGAATGTGCCAATGCTATTGAATTGTTCACTTAATAATGGTGAATTTTGTTATGTGAATTTCATCTTAACAAAAAAGTACAAGAAACTTTAAATTCCATCATGCTTATTTTATTAATTTTTTATCTATAACTCAAATAATTGAGAAAATAACTTAATCAGTGGCAACAAATTTATAAGATGCTCCAATTTTTTAATCAATCTTTCCTTACCATTTCAAGGGCATCATGTAGCGTACTGGATAAGCTATCATTTATGATTGTTTGATAGAGTCCATCTCCTAAAACTGGAAATTGAAAGGTAAAAGTTTAGAAAAAAGAAGAAAAACATCTAAGAAACTTAGCAAATAATCTGATCACAAAGCCATAGAACACTACATTAAAATGTATATAATGGACACACTGACAGAACTCATAAACAAGTAATGCATA